GTAGAATTAGAATTACCCAAAAATCTCAGGCAAATTCACCCAATTTTTCATTGCAGCTTGCTGAAAAGAGAGCATCAGTCATCGTTACGGCCGAAAGTCCCCCCACCACCACCTCCAATCATGGTGGAGGGCGAACAACACTTCGAGATAAAGGAAATCCTAGATTCTAGAAGATATCATGGAGCGACTCAGTACCTAGTTGCATGGAAACACCACCCTGCCTCACAAAACGAGTGGGTCCATAAACGTCATGTCAGAGCCCCGAAGCTATTCAAGAAGTTTCACACAGAGTATCCTAACAAGCCTGACTAAATTTTATACCTGTTTTGTTTTTCTTTCAAGTGGATCTATCTTATTTTTAAGGAGGCGGGATGTCAGAATCCTATCATATTTCATCTCTATTTATCGACTATGGAAAACCCCATTTCTGCCCTCTCTGGATTCTGTCATATGATGGGGAAGGGGGGTGAACAAAGGGGTTTTATGGCCCTCACTTCCTTCAGTACAACTTCAAAAGGGACTGAATGTGGATACCACCAAAAGGACTAACCATAACAATGGGGCCATCAGCTTTCATCTGCTCCTCTCTGAAGTCTCCCTTCCGCGGGCAGTGAGGAAAAGGGGGTGGAAATGTAACACCTGGGATTGTCACTGGAAGGATCCGATGGGGTAGGGTGGGGTTGCTGGGAACTCCTTAAAACCTTGAACCATAGGGCTTGGTCCCCAAGTCCTGTCTAGAATGCCTGCAACCATTTTCTCTTAATAAAGATGCCTGTTGGAAGAAATATTCCAAGAGTTCTGTCTTCTTAAGATGTAAAGTGGGGTGGGTCCTTACAGAGGATTTAGAAAAGTTTTACGAAGATATAAGCAGTATACTGAAAACCTTAAAAAGTAATAATATCACAATACTCATGGGGGACTTCAATGCAAAAGTGGGAGAAGGAAGTGATGCTCCTGTAGTTGGAAACTTTGGCTTAGAAACCAGAAATGGTAGAGGTGACAGATTTGTAGACTTCTGCAAGGAACATAGGCAATGTGTGATGAATATTTTTTTCAAGTTGCCAAAAAGACGCCTCTAGACGCAGAGATCACCAGCAGATACACGAAATAATGTAGTAAGGAACCAAACTGACTATTTTACAATAAAAAAAAGATTTAGAAACTCAGTAAAATCAGTAAAGACATACCCAGGTGCAGATATACCATCCGATCATAATCTACTACTTGCTGAAGTCCAGCTGAAACTAAAAAGGATGAAAAACCCGAACCCTGCTAAATCAAGAATTGACAGAGACTTCATAATTAAACATGGAGGTAAGATTAAAGAAGAACTAGAAAATCATTTAAGGGAAACCAACAACCTGAATGATGATGATGATGTAGAAGCAAACCGGAATAAATTCAAAAATGCAATAGTAGAGGTAACAAATTCAAAACAGAGAGAGGGATACCACAAGAAACAACAGTGGATGACGGAGGAAATTCTTCATTTCATGGATGAAAGAAGATCTTATAAAAATAAAAACAAAGAAAAATACAATGAATTGCAGAAAATAATTAGAAGAAAAATTTGACTGGCAAAAGAAAAGTGATTTGCAAAGAAATGCAAGGAAATAGAAGAGACAGAACGTATACACGATAATTTCAATTTACACAAAAAAGTGAAAGAAGCAGCAGGCCTCTACAAAAAGAAAACCAACAACTTAGTTGACAAAGAGGGGAAAATTATCTTAGATGAGGATGAAAAACTAAAAAGATGGAAGGAATATATTGAAGAATTTTTTGAGGACACTAGGGATGATACAGATATGGGAAGTATAACAACTGGACCAAATATCACTATGGAAGAGGTTGAACATGCAATAAAAATAGCAAAAACAAGAAAAGCCACAGGACTTGATGATATCCCAGTAGAAATTTTAAAATTGCTGGAAGACAATGGAAAGAATTTTTTACTGCAGCTTTTCAGATATATGAAACAGAAAAGTTACCAAATGATTGGCTAAAATCAACCTTTGTAACAATCCCCCCAAAAATAAATGCAAAGAAGTGTACCGAATACAGAACAATAAGCTTAATGAGTCATGCTCTGAAAATATTCCTGAGAATAATTCACACAAGAATATACAACAAAATTGAAGAGCATCTAAGTAACACACAATTTGGTTTCAGAAACAATCTTGGTACACGAGATGCGCTGTTCAGCATTCAGGTTCTTGTACAGCGTTGTAAAGATGTCAATCACAGTGTTTACATGTGCTTCATGATTTCAAAAAAGCTTTTGATAAAATAAGATACAGCAAACTATTAGAAATCCTGAAACAAGGGGGACTAGATGACAAAGACATCCAAATAATAAAGAATCTGTATTGGCATCAGGTAGCAAATGTGAGACTAGGCCAAAAATACTCAGCTGATGCAGAAATAAGAAGAGGGGTCAGACAGGGATGTATTCTGTCTCCACTGTTGTTCAATATCTACTCCGAGTCGATCTTCAACAAGGCACTGGAGAACATCGATGCTGGCATCAAAGTAAACGGTGTTTGGATCAACAACTTAAGATATGCTGATGATACAGTTTTGCTTGCCAGAAGACCTGAAGACCTTCAGCTCCTCATCAACAGAGTCACAGAAATATCTGAAAAATACGGCTTGAAGCTCAACACCTCAAAAACCAAGATCATGGTCATCAGCAAACAACCCATTAATTTACCACCAATAAATTCAGAAGGAGTACCACTAGAAAAAGTTGAAAGGATCACGCACCTCGGTTCCAATTTATATGAAAGCTGGGACATGACCTTTGAAGTAAACACAAGGATAGAAAAAGCCCGAACAGCATTCTTCAAAATGAAAAAGGTCTTCTGCAGTCACGACATAAGCCTAAGACTGAAAATCAGGCTTGTCAGATGCTATATTTTTTCTATCCTGCTCTATGGAATAGAGAGTTGGTCTCTGACAGAAGGTCACCTGAAGAGACCAGAAGCATTTGAAATGTGGATTTACAGGCGGCTGTTACATAGAAGCTGGGTCGACAGAAATGAGGACGTGATAAGCCGCCTGGGAAAGCCAAGGGAAATTATCAAAACCATTAGAAAACGAAAATTACAATATGTGATGCGACACCCAGAAAAATACGGCATACTCCATTTAATCCTCCAGGGAAAGACTGAAGGCAAACGACGTCCAGGCAGAAGAAGAACATCGTGGCTTAAAAATCTAAGGGACTGGTTTGGACAAAACTCAGCAGCACTTTTTCGTGCGGCTTCTGATAAAAACAGGATCACCAACATGATCGCCAACATCCGATAACGGATATGGCACAAGAAGTCACAGCCCAGACCAGCAGAAGCCTGCCAATGTCCCCGTTCGCCATTTCTGAGACCTCAGCGGTTATTGACTTCTCTCTGGCCTTTAAAGCAACGAAATAATCGACAAAATAGCGGGGGCTGGGGAGGGGGGTCTTTGGGATGCCATGAGACAAGCAAGTGGCAGGGCGGCCCCAGCGGGACTGAAGCTCTCCACTCAGCTGCTTTTGGTTGTCCACCAAACTAGAAGCAGAGAAGCTTGTTCTGGAAACCACCTGTGTGTGTGTAGAATTAGGGCGAAGGGAGCTCTCCCCTCCCTGCCCATCACCAGAAGTCCTCCTCGACATTCTGAGTCAACTCCAGGATGTTCATTGACTGTTGCAAGGCCCCTTTGCGCAACACAGAAGGAGCCGCTCTTGTGTCCCAGGCTGGCAGTGCCAGGGAGTCTTAACCTACAGCAGAGGCAGAAGCCCTTTTATCTGCTCAAGCTCAGAAGAAGGAAGGTGGGGGAGGCTCTCCCGGCCTGGCTTAGTGCTTCAGGCAGAGGCCAGCACTCCTTCACCCCTCCCTCCCTGACAAAAGTGGGGTCCAAAAGGTTCCCACAAAAGGGCTGAGCCTTGGCGCAACATCTGGAGCTGACCCACCTGTCACTTCCCTATCACTCTCTTCCCACATTTTAACGGTGCTGGTTTCCCTTCCAGAATTCCCACCCAAGGGAAGCAGAGCTGCTGACAGGGATGGCTAAGAGACGCCTCGAGAGCCAGGAAGCGTTAGAAGGCCTACACATCCATCTTTGTGCCTCATTGTTATGCAGCCTATTTTTTGGCACAGACTGTACCTCCAGAGTCCATTCCCATTCTGAACCCTGTGGGGATGCCAAGTGCTGGCCAGGCTCAGAGGCTCCAGAACAGCCGCCACTCTATTCAATGCAACGACTCTCCCTTGACTGTGGAGTGCAATTCAAAGGCGGGAAGGGGGAACAGCGCTTCTATCCGCTTCCAGGGCAGACAATAAGGGCCAGACTGCAAGCGCAATATTTGCACAGCAATCCACCCCCAGTGATCTTGTGAAATGTCTTCATTTCCTCCCAAGGAAGCAGGTGAGATGTTGCTTCCTTGAGGAGTTGGTGGCTTCCCCAGAAAAGTGACGTTGCCCAGAGAAAGGAAAGCAGGTGCAAGGAAGGGGCTGGCCAGAAGAGGTTCAATTGACCTGCTGAAAGAGGACAGCTCATCCAGCAGACCATGGAGCGGCATCAACTGATCTCAGCCACGCTTAGGTCCCCTACTCTCCCAGGAATGTCTCCAGTCGTATCTGGGAACGAGCAGCCCCCTCCTTGGGGAAAAGGAGAAGCAGGAGGGCTGTTTTCTGAAGACCAATCGGTGTCACGAGAGCGCTCAAACTAGTGGGAGGTCAACAGGCCTTTTTGGAGGCCAGCAGAGAGGATCAGGTGAGATGTGGGGTTACTGGTTTCTCTCCGGGACCCTCGATTTTCTCCTATTCTCCAAGCCCATTTGCGGAGCTGCACTAATGAAGACCATCCGCCATGTGCACCAGGCAGATGGGCTTCCTGCCTCTGACTGGGCTTCGCCAACCATCCTTCCTGGAGTATTTGCCCCCCCCATCACCTGTCTGGACAGGAAGGTGCTTGCATTTTCACGGACAGTAACCAAGAGCCTGACTGGGTCTGCTTACCTTGGATAGCAGAAAGATAAACAAAGGAGTCTTTATGTTCCACGTTTTCTACAAAAACCTGAAAATTAAAACCAAGAATCACTTTGCCTGCACAGCTGCAGCCAACTGTGCCTCTCTCAGCTAATGCCTCCTTGGCAGGGCATGACGTTGCCTGCAGCCTTCCGTCCAGGCATGGGGTTTGCCCCCTGGAAGCCCCACTGCTGCTCTGATCAGGAACGAGAAACCTTTTGGTTCTGGGGAAGTGATAAGTGGTTGGGCAAGGGAACAGGGTTTCTCCAAAGGTTGCTCCAGGCTGCTCACAAAGAGGGCAGCTGATGCCCAGCAGACCAGGGTGGGTCCTGGGAGAACAACTGCACCAGCCGCTGCCCCCCAGGCTCAAAACATTCTGACTGCTTGGAAGCAGAGTTGAACTCTTCCAGAAAAAGCAGCTTCCTCTCCGCTCGAGGTCAGAAGGTTCAATATGGGGGCAACATGCCTAAACTCTGAGGGAAACCAGAAAATAGAAGAGGGAAAACCTGGTGACTGAAAACTTAATTCTATATCCCTCGAAGTGGTTGGATAGAAACACCTGTGCAGGCTGAATCTTCTGGCCATTAAGCAGAATTCACAGGACGAAACTCGAGGGACACCCTCCATCACTCAGCAGGAAGGATCCTCCAGGTAGGCCCCAAAGGGAGGGACAGGGGCTCCCTCCCACGGCCAGCCCAAACCACACACATGCTGTCCTGCGGGCTTTTCCCCACAAAGTGCTCTGCCTGCCTACCTTCAGCAACTTCTCCCGAGTCTTCAGGGCTCCGGGATCCCTCTGCTCGACCATCCGGGAGAGGTGGCGCAAGGCAGCAGCTCGCGTGGGGATGTCAGGACTATAAGCCCCCGAGAGAAGCTCCTGCAGGCTCGGGGAGGTGCAGGGGGCAGAACTTTTCTTGGCAACTGACTCCGCCTCCTGAGGCTCCCCTGGGCTGCTCCTGGGGGACTTCTGGGGCAGGGGTGCCCCAGGTCTGGCGGCCTCATCTGGGACGCCCGTGCTCGCAGCAGCACTCCCTTGGCCTGCCACCCCACCCGCACTCCTGCCCAGGGTCTTGCAAGCAGCGGCGCAGACAGTCTCTGCAGAAAAGGCGCGGTGGGTGCAGATGGAGATGCGCAAGTCAGCCGCCAGCTCCTGGATGACGGGCTCTGGGTGGACGTGGGAGAGTTCCTCCAGCAGGGGCACCAGCTGCTTCAGGCTGGCAAAGTCTTCAGAATTCAGCTGGGAGACAGCAGGGAGCACGTCAGCCGCTGCCGCCCAAGACAGGAACCAGGGCTGATCCTGAGAACTTGGCCCTGGGCTGCCGGCAGGAAGCACCAGGAGGGGGCACTGCGGCCCAGAGCCTTTGCTGTGGTTACCGTTATGGGCGTGCGCACAGACTCCAGCAGGGCCGATAAGATCAGGCCCCGAGCTGGCAGGTGCACACGGTGGATGGGATGGGAATGGAGCTACTGCAGCACCCCAGCCAGGACTCCAGCTCAGCCCTCGAGGGAGCCGGGAAAAGCCACCTCCACCAAGCTCCTGCTGGCAGGGAGCCAGGCTCAGCCCTGCCCCCACCCGGCACATCCCGCCTCCACCTCCAAGGCTGCAGGAGGACTCGGGCTTTGCGCTAGCTGGCCAGGAACCCCCTTCCGGCAGGCAGCAGAACATCCAGGATCCACCCCAGGGGCTTGACCCTCCCTCACTATTCCTCCTTGGCTGCTGGGTATGGCCAAGGCCCGCCTCCTCCCTCACTGCTCAAGAGTTCTGGCGTGTGGGTGGAGGAGTGCTTTTCCCTGCTTGGCACCCACCAGAAACACACCCCCACCCAGCGCTCCTCCTGCGGGAAACCACAGCAGGCTTCAGCAAAGGAGGAACAAGCACCAGCCTGAAAACCAAGAGGAGGGAGGGAGGGAGGCACCGTGTCTGGAACCAGCCCTAGCAAGCCAAGACTTGAGGAAGGAAGCTTCAAGGCTTCAGCAAGTTTCCCCCACCCCCACCCCACTTTCTGCCTCAACATCGGCCAGCGAACAAAAGAGCCACAGCACAAAGTTGTTTCCTCCCTCAAACACCCCAACCCTAGACGAAAGGACCCAGTTTCTTAGCAGGCCCCACTGGGCTGGGGCTGAGCTGGGCAGCCCCTGGCCTGGCCTTGCTCAGAAGCCTGGCTGACCTCTGTTCTGGCCTTAATTGGCCCTCAAGCAGCCTGCTGCTGCTTCGCAACTGCCCTCCCCCAGCAAAGAGCCTGCAGGTATCGGGGGAGGGGCTTCAAGCTAGGGATCAAATTCAAAATGGGACGGGAGGGGGAAGGCAGGAGCAGAGCTAGAGAGACACTGGGTTTCACTGACTGAGGCTCAGAATCACAAACCTTTCTGGTTCCCTTGCGGGAACCAGAAAGGTGCTCATCTGCCGGCCTCTGCGCACCTGGAAGGTCTGCAAAGACTTCCAAAAAGGCCCCAAGAGACCCCAACGCCTGAATTGAGGCCGCCACCAACGCCCTCCGGCTACTCACCTGCAGGGCCCCGCCCAGCAGGGCCGCCACCAGCCCCATGGCCATGCTGAGCGTCTGAGACTCTACGGTGCCCACTGAGCCTCCGGAGAGACCTACGCAGGCCCGCTGCAGAGTGACTGCCACAAACGCCACCACCTGTGGATGGAATGCCACACCTGAGGACAGGAGGACTGCAGAGACCCCTGAAGACCCCGAGCAAAGTGCAGATCTGGCCTTCTCAGGACCAAGCCTGCGACGGCTGCCCCAGACGTGATAGGGCTTCAGGCGCCAATCCAAGGAACTGCAGAGAAACCCCCAGGAGGGGATTCACAGGCTGCCATTTACCCAGTAGGAACCCCGATGGGCCACCTGGCACGGCTCCAAAGGCTAAGGACAAAGCCTCGGGCCAAAGGCAGCAGCTTCCCCACAGTCTGAAGAGCAGCAGCAGCAGCAGGGAAGTCGAGGTGGGCAACAAAATGGATGGGCACCAAGCCTGCTTCGCCCTTTGAATCCCTAAACACACTGGGCGGAGGAGCCCTCTCCACAAAGTGAGGGTCTGGCTGGACATAACCGTGTTTGGGCTGTGTGCTCATCCTGCCTTCTCCTGGCCTGGTCTGCATGCAGTCAGCCCCCCCCCCCATCCGTTAACACCCTTCAGAAGACAAAGAGGGCAGGAGGGGCAGATCAGAGTTTTGCTGCACCTAAAAAGGTTGCTTCTGTAGCAGAGGTACTTTTGCATCTCTAGGCTTGATAGGCCAGGGGCCTCCCTCCACCCCCCTCGGCAATTTCCTGGGTTTCCCAGAAAGGATGAAATTAAGGCCTACCCTATCCCCCCCCCCCAAGGCCTATCTGGCACATCCCTTAAGGAGGGAGTTTGCTTTCTCAGCAGCCACTAGGTTATGCAGCCTGGACAGGCCGACCTCAGGCCCAGCAGCCAGGCCACTCCAGATGGTGGAAGGACGGGGGTCTGCAAGGCACGAGGGGGAAACGAGGACTGGACCAACCTGCCTGACATCCGAAAGCAAAGAGTCCGAAATGCCCTCGGTCAGCATGGCCACCACCTGGAGCACCTGCAGCTGCCTGGTCTGCTGTGGGGGGGCTGGGTTGCAGAGCTGCTCCAGATCCAGGGGGGGAGCTTGCAAAGGGGGTGCAGGGTCCTTCTCGGAGGCCACCTGTGTCAGCTCCTGTCACCCCAGGGAAGGGAACACATTGGAAGAAGAAAGACTAAACAGCTGGCAGGACATTGTCCTGCTCCAGAGCAGAAAAAAAAAAAGAAGCGTGGTTCAGTGGGTACATGGCTTGCTTCCTCTCTAGTTCTTCCCTGGAAGAATCACAGAGCTGGGAGGGATAATTTAGAGGATTTCCCCCCCCATGCAGGAATCCAGATGAGACCCACCCAGACTCTCAGTTCCAGGAGTCATTCTAAACCACAGTCCCATCTAAGCTCAGAGAACTGCGGTTCTCCTGCCTGGATTAGTCCTTGACAGCTGAAGCGTGACCTTGAAGGACAATGCCTGGACCTCTGCCACACGTGGCACCTATCCTGCTCCTGCGGAAGGAGCAAGCGCGCGCACACACTACGGAGACATCCAGAGATACTCTTGGCTCTACCTTTAAGCAGCCTAGGAAGAAGTCTCCAGCTAGGCCGCCCCTCTGGCAGTGAGACAGCAAGTCCACCAGCTGCTCCAGCTGCCACTGCTCGGAGGAAAGCTTCTGATACAGAGCCTCGTCTTCGTCACTGCAAAGGGAGAGAGCAAACTTTTCACTGAGGGATGAAGCACAGCCCCAGGAAAGCCCCGGAGGCTCTGGGCTGACCCATCTCTTCCATCCTCCTCTGAGCAAGTGCCGAAGCTCCCCGGAAGGGAGAGGTCAGCTGAGAATCCTCCCAGGCAGTGCATCCTATACTCTGGGCAAGCTGCCTTTGGACTTGCAGGCTCTCTGCACCCACTGCCTGAGGCAGGAGAGGCCGGGCCAGGTTTTCTGGCACTCCAACACCCCACAACCGCAACCATCTGGATCCGAGTCTCCCCCCCTTAAATGTCTTCTCTTTCCTCTCGTTGGGGAAGCTCAGCACTCTCACCTCACAGCCTCCTTGATGGTGGCCACCACACCCCCTTCACTGCCCACCTGGAACCGGCAGCGGGGATGGGGCAGGCGGGGGCTTCCTCTGAGTTCCGCCAGGCCTTCCAGGGCTGCCACAGAGGCCTGCTGCTCGCTCTTCTCCAGGAACCATAACAGGATCTCCTGGCAGGGGGTGCTGAAAACAATAAAGGGGGAGGGCATTAGCCCCAACCCAGGGGAAAGTGGCTTTGGTTAGAGGCACCCCCAAACACCCCCAAGCAAAGCTGCCTCTCCCAGAAGAGGGGCAGGACATGGCGTCTGTCTCCTGGGCCTGGGCGATGGGAACTAAAAAGCTGTTGGGCAGTGGCCTAATTGCCTTGGCTGTTCCTCAGCATCCCCCCCCCTTTCTCTTTTACAGATGGTTGCTATCTTTAGGTTCTTTTCAGAGGAGCTACACACACACACCCATCCAAGGAGGGCTGGGACTTCCTACCCTGGTAGAAAAGCAAAGCCGGCACTGCTCAGGGCTCCTCGGGACCAGAAGCAGCGAGTGGTGGGGTCTTGGTTGACAGGAACCAGAAGAGCTCCCAGCCAGGGAAGTTTGTCCCCACCAGCCCACAAAAGAGCTCTGAAGATTCCCCCGCCAGGCCAGGCACCTCACCGTAAGAAGGACACGTTCTGCTTGGTAAAGCACCAGAGGGAGAAGATGGCGCCCAGCACAGGTTGCAAGGCACCCAACAGGCAAGGCGAGGGTTCATTACCGATCACACAGACCTGCGAGAGAAAGCAGCTGAGAGGAGGAAGGGCTGGCACAAACTCAATTTGCAGCCTTAATACACACACACAAACGCATACACGCACAGAGACCAGGATCCCTGCACATTGCCAGGAGCAGAGGATTCCCCCCTGCCCTTTCCAACTACTTGCAGAAGAATCTCTGGCCATTTTACGCCCTTGTGGACCTGTTTCTGTGTGCCAGCTCTCTGAAACAGCACATTAGTGCCCAAGATGCTCTCGAGCATTCAGTATTTAAATTCTCAAGCTACCAAGGCATCTGCCAAAGATCAGCCTTTATATTTACAGCTCCCCAACCTTGGACTTGAACCAACAGAGCTTGTTGCATAGGTCATCCAAGACCTCCCAAGCCTGCTAACAGCTCAGCCCGCAAGTCTGTGTATAAGGCAGCCCTGCAAAGTTCTGCATTCCTTCTGGATCAGGCTGATCTTTAGATTGGCTGCATCTTCAGCAGAGATGGGCTGGCCGTGCTGCCGGGCATTGCTGAATTCTGGTGTCCGTCAGCTGACAGCAGCATTGGGCTAGCAAGGACTGAGGCGGCGGCGGCGGTGGAGTACTTCAAGCAGAGCATGAAAGGCATGTGGGAATGGCGCCTCCACCTGGCATTTCAGGGAAGACCATTTTGGCTGTTTCAGCACAAAAGCGAGGCCACAGCTAAGGAGACATGACCCAATTTCTGCTACAGGAATTTTTAGTTTGAAAGCAAATGCGGGTCCTTCCTTGGCTTCCGATCCCTCTCCCAACACTGCATACAGACAGGCGTGCTAGTGTCGCACCTTGTGCACTGTTTCCACGCACCCTGAGAGCAACTCCTCTTTCACCAGCACAGCCCCAGCGGGCAGGTCTTCCAGGGAACCTTCTGAACAGAAGAAAAGGACCGATGTAAGCGGTAAATGAAAGAAAACAACATGAGTTCCTTCTCTGAGAGCTGTCCAGCTGCCAGGCTAGAAATTATGGAATGGTGTCCTGGCTGGGAACTCTGGGCCAAGCCCTCGCTCAGTCCAACTTCCTCACAGGGGAAAATAGGGGGCAGGGCCATTATGCATACTAGAGTTGTGTAAAACAAAGGCAGGATATAAATCTAAATTGATGAAATGATCTTTGATTCAAATGAGCGTATCTTAGCCTACCAAGCTTGTCTTACCCAGCATTGTTTCAACTAATACTGGACTGTTATGAGCTGCCCAGAATTCATGAATAAACTGACCCAGGGGATACATTTCAGTCCCACTGGAGGACTCAGACCTAAGAAACCCAGAGCCACCAATTCTGAGTAGAGGAGCCCCTGGAAAAACAAGGAGGTTTCCACCTTCTAAAATGACAGAAATGTATTTGTTTGTTCGTTCGTTCATTCATTCATTCACTCAATCAATTATTCACTCACTCACTCAATCAATCATTCACTCAATCAATCAATCAATCTCTATATCTGGCCAACTCAGCCAAGTGATTCTGGGCAGCTTACAATTCTAAAGTTCTAAAAGCAATAAAAGTGGGTTCTCCTCTGCCTCTCCTGCAGGCATCGTCTGATTCCCCAGCCTGGCCAAGCGTTCAGAAGTGGGAGGCTGTTACCTGGCTCCCCCAGACAGCGCAAGAGGGGCTCCAGCAGGGGACACAGCAGATGTTTCTCTGCCTGCTGTGGGTGTTGCCTCACCATGGCGAGGACGGTTGTGGTTGCCACTCGTTGGAACTGGCGCACTGTCAGCTCATCCTGGATGAGAAACAGCTGCAGAATCTTTGAAAGGACAAAAGCAGTTTTACGCTCAATATACATGATGCTCACTAGCAGTGTTTCTAAATGTATGTTTTACAGCACACACTCTATCACAAACTTCCAAAACAGGGCTACAAGCCCCCAAGGCTCAGCAGAAACTGCAGACCCCGAGGGTCAACCCAGGAAAAGACAGCCGCTTTGCAAGGACCAGATGGAGGGGAAAGGCGCTCTGCCTCGCAGGGCATCCATCCAGTCGGAGCCTCTCTGGGAGCTCTGACTCATAAACTTTCTTGCGCCAGCTGGGTTGCACCGGAACATCAGTCGCTGGGTGAAGGGAAGGGGCAGAAGATGTACCTGTGGGCAAATCTGTTGACAATAATCCTCCAGGGACAGAGACTGCTGAGGACATGAGGACAGAATCTTGGCTACGGCTTCACACTTCTGCCAGTCAGCTGCTGCCGCTTCTGCACCACTGCCCCCTACAGCCCCAGCTGGAAAATGGAGGCTCCGTGTTAGACGAGCACACAGAGAAATCGCCCATCCTGTGGCCACAGAGAATCACAATTTCCTCCTCCAGGAAGGCAACCTTCACTCAAGCCACAGCAGTGAGTGCCTAGCTCAGTATCTTGCCAGGCTACCTTAGATCTTCCTTATCCTTCCTGCTCTTGCTGTTTTTAAAGAGAGGTGCAAAAAGTCTGAGTTGCTCTCTGCCTAGAAGAGCTGGGAAATGGGAAATGCATTTCGTGGGAAATGCTGTGCAGAGGGGCCTGCAGCAGCTGACCGGGTAAGCAGCAAGGCCTGGGAAGATCACACACCAGGTTGCCTTATTTGCCCCATCTAGAAGTCCAGGTTTGGTTCTGGCAAACTGGACTGATCCAAAAAAACACTGGCACACAATGATTTTCCAGTTTCAAAATATTTTCCTGTTTCATGCAGATCCTTATTTATTAAAATAGGAGCTATTATATTTAAACTTGGCTGTGCCAAGTTTAAAAACACTGGAAGATAGGACACCTTTCTGCTCTTGTTATAACCTTTTAATGGCCAATTTGTCTGGCCTCACTCACCTCCGGCTCCTTCCAGGATGCCACGGATCACAGCCTGAACTCCACCGGGTCTTAATAGTCTCCCGGACAGCAGGTGCCCACAAAGGCGCTGAAGCCAGGCTGGTGCTGGTGCCATACAGGGCCTGCTGTTCTTCTGGCTGGGATTGGAGGCCTGAAAAAGAAACATATGTGCACGCTGGACCATGACCAATCCCGTTGTGCAGCACCCCTTCTTCTGCCTTGCCCCGATGGGCCTCGACACCAGGCAACAGAGGCATCCCCTGCCCTTCCCCAAACAGAACGGACTCAAGTTATTTAACTGAAAGCTTCTCTGAGGGTACCATTCACGTAGCAGCAGAATGGCAGCTAATAAGACTGAGTTGGCCCTGGAGCTCAGTCAGATTGTATCCCATGCCAGTTATGCCTCTTCCTTTCCTCTCTTACTGACACATGTGCTAATGTGCTAGCAATTCATAAAGGCCAAAGCTGGATCTCTTGACAGGGTCCCTAGAGACAGGCTGTCAAGGAGCAGGACCAAAAAAGACCCGTTCTGCAGAGGCAGCACTGAGCCGGAAGGACAGATCAGGGTGGGGTATGACTCACTAAAAGGAAGCTTCCATGTCAGTGTTTATCAACCGTGCCAACTTTAAGATATGTCGACTTTAACTCCCAGAATTCCCCAGCTAACATAAAATTGGCAAGGTTGAGAAAGACTGTTCTATACCTTTGGCGCTTGTTCCTCCTGGGATAATGAATCAATGTCGTGGTTCTTAAGTGGCATGTATCCACTGTCATAGTTGAGCCACATGCAAGGGCTAATCTGGGATCTCTCCAAAAATGCTTCGGTTACACAGGAGGAAGAGGAACAAAGATTTTCAAGCAAGCACGCACAATGGAGGCAACTCAGAGGATGCAAATCTAGTTTCTCCATGACTCAGTCATACCCGCTTAGGTCCCCCCTGAAGCAGCAGCAATTCCCGGACCACCAGGGGCTGGTACACTTTGTCCAAAAGGCCGTGCAAGGCTTCTTTGCAGCTGCTCCGTTCCTCTTCTGTCAGGCCCTAAGAAAGTCCCAGAGAGGTAGAAAAATAACACACAAAAGAATTCTAGGAAATTAGAGGAAATTATTCCAAATACCTCTTCAGCGGCCCTGGCAAGAGGCTCAGCCAACTAAGGTTGTGGCAAGGGGCCCACAGGCATCTCCCTGCCTGGAAGCGCCTTTTCCCCTGTAGGGCCCAAGGGGGGCCAGCCCCAGACTCCGCAGGGAGGCCTCCTGGTCCCCCCTCCCATTTCACACTTGCTTCAGTTTATGGAAATGGCCGGTCTGGCCGCTGCTGGCAGGGAACCGGGGCAGACGCAAGCAGGACCCCAAGGGCTGCTCCTTAACATTCACCTGGCTCTCGGCACCCGCCCGGGCCTTCCTTGCCGGGCAGAAGCCCAGCTGGCACAGCCCGGCCAGCAGGTCGCCCAGGTGGCGCACCAGGATCAGCCTGCCCAGCTCGGGGTGTTCGGCCGCCTCCCTCAGGGCGCTGCAGGTGGCGAGGAGCCTCCGCGGGGCCTCGGGCTGGGCGGCGAGCAGGCCGGCCTTGTCCCGCGGCGGGGGCGCCACCCCGGGCAGCAGGTACGGGCGGAGGCCCAGCGCCACCGCAAGCTGCGCCGCCGCCTGCACGGCGCCCTCCTGGGCGATACTCAGAGCGTCGGGGAGCAGTGGAGGGGAGAGCCCGGGATGGCCCCGGCTGGCTGCGGGGGTCGCGGCGGCCAGGCGGGCCAGGCAGCGCTGGAGGCAGAGCAGCAGCAGCAGCGCCTGGCAGGCGGCGGCCCAGGGCAGGTCGGGGCCAGGACTCAGCCCCGGGGCCTGCCGGGCCACCTCGGCCCTCGCCCTGCGCAGGGCGGCCCACTGCGGGTCCCGGGCCAGCCTCTCCTCCAGGGCGGCCAGCCCGAGGCGCAGCGACTCTGGCGACGGGGCCGGCAGCGCGTCTGCGGAGAGAAGGGAGACGTCGGTCGAAGGTGCGGCGCGGAAGGCGAGAGAAACAGCCGGCCGCCCCTCCTCCCGCGGCTCTCACCGGGGGCTGCGCTCCGGCCCAGCAGCAGCCGCAGCCCGTCCGCCGCCCGCTGCAGCCCCGCCGCCGCCCCCTCCTCGTCCGGGGCCTCGGCGCTAGCGGGCGCAGCCATCTTGGGAAGGTCCGGTGATCCTGCGCGACGGCGACACCGCCGCCTCGGGAGGGGCCGAAGGAGACGGGCGGAAGTTCCCGCCGGCTGCCCTTTTGCGAAGGTCGAGAGGAAACCCGGGAGGGCCGAAGGGAAGCGGCCCTCTTGAGAAGGTCTCGCGGCCGGAGGAGTTCCGGGAGTCCTCTGACGCACGCGCAGTTCAGCTAGTTGAATGCGCTTGAAAGTAAGTCTTGGATGGATGCGCGAGGGTGGCTCTACGCAGTGGGGGTCGTCCCTTACCAAAAGGGCAAACTAGGCTTTGCTCATTAAAATACTTATTAAAATACACTATTTCCTTCAATCTGAAGCCAAACTTTTCAAAATTAGCTGCAGGACCTTAAAGCAAATTCACTTTCCCAAGTGGAAAGAACCACAGTAATAAATGCGTCCCAAAATATGTATTTCTAGGCTAACAAAAGGTTTTAAGTTAAATTCCTCTTTTGGTCCCAGTGCTAAGTAAAGGAATGAAGCGGAATAGAGAATTCTGCTGTAGAAAAGAATGGAACAGAGCAAACGGCCTCAAAGATAAATGTGTGCCTGGATTGATAGGGCACCTTTGTCTGGTCACTTAGAAAGCTAATGGCTTCAGACCCTGCATTTATGCCATCAATGGCAGCATGGCACAAAAATGCTTTAGGTGAGCAGGACATCCATTTCCAAGTATGATTCTGTGATTTAACTTCATATTAACAAGTATCCTAAGTTGACCATTTGAATGCTTTTAAAATTTTACCCACATGCAAAACAATTGCAGTTATGAGTCCAGAAATAAGCATGGCTTTTTCTAAGGTGACCAGCCGTCCTCCTTTAGGGAGGACAGTCCTCCTTTTGTGAGTTCTCTCCTCCCTTGAAAAGTGTCCTCCTACATGTCCTCCTTTTCGGTATTTGAAGACTAATCTGCAGGGCTTTTTTTCCCTCATAGAACGCTCAGAACAGCGTTCTGGCACCTTTCTTTGATGTTTTTTTTTTAACTTTTGCATGAGCTGTGCTACTCCCCCTATTGGCTTTCGAAAGCCAATAGGAATTGCTGCTGAGCACGCCAAAACACTTGGCCGGCAAACTTTGCACATGTAAGTTGACTGCAGCGAAGGCGAATTGGCAGGAACTTTGCACCCCTCCCTGCTACCCAACTACACCATCTCCTAGTTAGTCCCGAAGATACCTGGAGGAGACTGGAAAGGCGATGCCACGGTAACTTTCTCTTGATCTTCCGCCCTACTAGGACAATAATGGCTGCGGGCGCAAGAGGCAGGGGTGGCGGGGCTGCTGTGGGCGGGGGTGTGAGGGGCGGCGGTGGCCGGCTCCCCCCCCCGTGCTGTGGGAGCCGGGGGGGGGGGCTGCTCTACATGGAGCTATGCAGGACTGGCGGTGATGCTGGCAGGGTGGCTGCAGGTGGGGTGTGTCAATGGCGGGCTGCCCCCGGGGGCCGGAGCCGGCGCAGCTGGTGCTTTGGGAGCCTGCTCTACATGGCAGGGCAGCAGTGCTGGCGGGGTGGCTGCGGGCGGGGGTGCGGCATGTAAGCATAATTACAATATAAACTATTGTTACAAATGTTTTTATTACGGTATGCATTTATCATATTATAGGGTATTCTGTATTATTGTTGCAATGAATAAAATGTTTCTTTTATTTACAATATTTTTTTCTTCAATTTATTTGTGTCCTACTTTTCATTGTAAAAAAATTGGTCAGCTTACTTTTTGAAATGATGGAAATCACAATACACATTTGACCAACAGCAAGTTGGGAAAGAAGATGTAAGCTCACCCTGGATTTATCTGGTTAATCATCCCCACAACATTTGAAAATAAAACTGTCTATAGTCAGTAGAACATCTAGGTCAGAAAAAACATGCAATCTCAGGAGAATGTTAATAAATATGACAGAGATTCAAGAAAAGAACTATTTTTTAAACAAGTTTATTAATTTTTAAAAGCATCTGTGCAATAAAATAACTTTAAAAAATGTGTACCTCTGTATTCTTTCCACAATATATATCCAAAAAGGACAGCTTAACATACATATCTAAAATTACAAAGCCATTTTCCAAAAGGTGCCCATCAATTGGGCAGGGTTAGAGAATGGGAAACACACCACAGGAAACGGTTGGTTGGTTCTCTTGAGGGGACAAGGAGAAACGGTTCTACTTAAAATGGATTACTTGGTGGACAAACGCCATCTTGTACAGCTGTATTTTATAAGGCCCCGCACAGGAGTGTGTCTGGCTGGTCCCCAGACGAAGGCCCGAGAGCTGGGGCCAGGCTTTGGACCACGGTTGAGCTCCCCTCTGGCCCAAGGGGTAGCCAAAAGCCTAAAGAGGCAGGGAGAGGTTGGTCAGGGAAGGCAACTGCTCCCACCCATTCAGGCTCTTTATGAGAAGGCACCAGGTAGTAACATCTTATGCTAAAACCAGGTTTGCTAATGTAACCCTAAAAGGTAATGAACAGACATCATTCAAGCCATAAATCATGATTTTCAAGCCACAATAAGTGGGATCATGCCAGATGGTTTTGCAGACGCCTCACAGGACACAGATTGGACTCTGGGCATTTGAGAGGCAAAGGTTGGGCAGAGGCATTGTCTGAAAGCAAAGTTGATTTAGGGATCCTAAAAGGATTCATCCAGGAGGAGAGTCATGTTAGTTAACAGTAGCAACAAAATCAGAAATCCTGCCTCTCTTCTGAGAGACGCTCCTCATCATTCCCACAAGCCTGCCTTTGAGCAGTAAAAGCCCAGTGCTGAAAACAAATGCCACAGATGTGCAGAATCCCCAGAAATATTTTTGGTTAGGGCTTTGGAAACACCAGGCTTGGATAGCTCTTCCTGCAGAAATCTCCAATAATTAGCCACTGTATCCAGACTGGGGGAATTGAATCTGAGGGCAGAAACCCTCAACCCCTCAACGAAACCTCTGTCTTATTACATGACCATAAGCGTTAGTGGTGTTTTATCCTCTCCCTCACAAAAATATCTTTTCTTGCATATTTTTCCTCATATTCTCCAAGATGCATTACAATTTTGCACCAAGAAGTCCGATGTTCTTAAGCAAACAGGAAAATAGCTGAACAAGAAGACACACTCAGGTGAAACTCTTGAATACAAGACCAAGCACCAGAGAGTCTTTCTGTCCTTTACAGAATCCAGATACTTTTCTCTTTCTTGGGGAAGCTTTTTCCACCTGATGGTGTCCAGCCTTTGAGAAGGAAACTCTGTGCTGCAATTATCCCACAGAGGTGAGATTGTCAGAATCTACTTCAAGGGGGATCTCTTGTGTATGTTTTGATAAATTATGGAAAAGTTGGCAAGAGTCACCAAGAGTCAGCTCTATTCTCTCTCCCTTCTAGCCTTCTGCCCCCCACCCATCACCCCTAGTCATCTTCTTCGCCCCCTCCATACATGTCAGCCAGCTTCTTGAAACGGTTGCCCCAGTCGTTCAAGTAATCATAATCTTGGTCCTGGTCTCCATAGGAGGAATTGAGGGAACTGAGAGACGTCGCTTCAGAGCCGTTGCCTTCGTAATCAAACACCAGCAGAGAGTCATAGGGGGGAGCAGTGGGGTCCATGTCTGCTGCCTTCAGGTTCTATAAGAAGAAAAACAAACAAAACTTCCATTTGTTGAACAGTGGAGGAAGCTGATGACAACCATCTCTCTAGAACAGTCTTTCCCAACCTGAGCAACTTTAAGACATGTGGACCTCAACACCCAGAATTCCCCAGCCAAATGAAGCCACGCTTCTTAAGGTTGCTCAGGTTGAGAAACAGTGACAAAGGGGTCACCAAATCTTTGGAGAAGCTGAAGAGAGTAGACCGTCTTTATCCAGGCTGTATCTATTGCTCTTCATCTACTATGATTTAGCTTTTGCGGCCACATTTTGCTTCTCACAAAATGCTTGGTCACCTGAAGTACCTGGGAACAGGATATCTCCCCACCAACTGGGCTCCGGGTGCCACTCACCTCGTCAATGAAATTGCCTATCTCATCGGGATTGGCAGGACGTGGACGGTACTGTGGGGCTGGCATGAGGGTTGGAGCAACATCATTCCGGGTGACTTCAGGGCGGGCATCCAGACCTCGATGCAACTGGCTCAGATCGTAATCCTAGGAAGACAAGATGTCCTCAGGCTCTTGGGCAGAGGAAGAACTCCTGGACTTTGAGCTGACCCAGAGTCAGGGTGAGTCTGGCAGAAGAAAACCTTCTGGCACAGACAATGAACAGAGGAGACCTTTTCTTCCTTCCCTCGGAAGAACATAATGGTTTTGTTTGGTCGATTTTCCTTTCACCAGAGCACTAACCCTCCAGGGATTCCTTTCTAAAACTCAGCTTAAATAGGTTGTTTTTACTAGAGCTGCTGGGAAATATGCAAGCGGAGCGGCTGAAATAAATCAAGCAAATGCCGGGCACTCTCGGAAGCCAGTGCAAGGGGGGGGGCGTTAAGTGGGACTACCACGCTAAATATCTAGCCGTCCCAGCTGCAGGAACAGGAAAGAAAAGGGCCGTGGGGAGCAGAAGCACAACTCAGGTCTGGGGGCCGGGGGGTGCTGAGGAGAAGCAGCTTGGGCCCACCTGGTCCTCCTCCCCTCCGCCTTCTTCGTCGTAGTAGTAGACGTTGTCCCTTGTGTCGTCCTCCGGGAGAAGCAGCGGCTCCTTCACCTGCCTTCTCCTCCTCACAAACAGCAGCAGCAGCAGCAGCAATACTGCAAGGCAGGTCAAGAGGCCCCGTCAGCCGCAAGCAGGAAGCTCATCCGGCTGAAGCAGGGACTGCTGACCAGCTCCTGATACAACTTGAGACCCACTTGATGCCACCTTCCAGAACTTTGGTGCCAACAGAGATCCGGTCTCGGGAATACACGTCCTACCAGGATACCACCAGAGCACGATGGTGGCCATTGATCTGAACCGCTCGATCGCAAGCAGATCGGTCTGGTGCTGAGCTCCAGCTTCATGGATGCCCACACAAGCAGAACTCTCTTCCTCTCTTGGTTACTGAGCCAGAAAAACATGCCCGCCAAAATCTTGGATGAAGCAAATGTTTCCAGCAGCCAGGAATGAGAGAGAGCAATTCTCCCCAGCCTGGAGTAAAATCCAGGTCCTGGCCATCTCCCCTGGCCAGAGTCTGCAG